AAATGTAATCGAACTCATGCATGCATCCAATGCAGCTGGACGTAATGCTGGTAATTTAGCTAAAGAGCTTAATACAAAAGTGGGCACACAAATTATCACATATTTCGCATTGTTAGGTTATAAAGCCGTTGAAAGTGTTAATGTGGTTGTTAAAGAGGAGGAAATGTCTTCCACTTCCGGTGAAGAAGACGAGGATGGAACATCGAATTCATTCGATGAAACTAAAGAAAGGGGAAAAATTAGAGTTAAGGACGAATTTAAAGACATGGGCCTAAATGAAGTGGACAATCACGATATCTTAAAAAAACAACCGACTACTTTTGAGGCATTGTTGTCCGATGCACAAAAATATCGAAATCTTGTTGCTGCATTAAGTGTGCATGATAAATGGAAGCAGCTAGCTGTGCCCTGCAAAATGCAACATTTACTCTGTTTGTGGAATAAAGCAGACGATATGCTGGATTATATGCGTAAAAACATTGAATATGACGTTTTTATCAATGCATTAGGCCTTGTAGACAAACAGATCTTAAAGCTGCTACAAAATATATAAATATGTACATTTGTAAACGAAATGAAAATTTTATTTATAGTTATATATGCGTAATTAAGGCGTTTAGACTTATACCTTTTCAAAAAGTGGCCAAGTCAACTACTATAAGCAAGCTGTAGTTACGATGTACTGGCCAACTTATTGTTCTTATGACTTATCTATTTCTATTTATAAAGAAAAATATATTAATTCCAAATTGTACTATAATATAATAATTTATTAATAATAAATATATTTACTTAAATGTACAAAGCATACGCACTTGTTTCATTAGTATTCGAAATATTATATTATGTGATCATATACATAATAATGGGTCTTACATATAGTACATGTAGTAAATGTAAATGGTTATACTTAGATATCGATAAAGGCATGTAGCATGATTAATAAATATTTTTGAATTCAGTTGAATTTATGTATTGGTTTCATTGAATTGCATTTATGCTAAACCGCAGACTCTTCCGCCTTTTTCTTTTTTTTCAGGAATTTACTTACAACATACATATTTTCTGCGAGAAAACGTCGACAAATGTATCTTTTTTATTTCAATTTAATATGGGAATAACATAGTGCATTGGTAAATCCCCAAATATACGCACATATACTAGCAAATCTTTTTTTATTGTGCAATGACTATTTGTTATTTCGCATAAACAACAAATATATGAGTATGTGAATCCCCTTGAGTTATTTATTGGCGCGATGTCATGAAAACGTGTAATCTGTAGGTGGAAGTATATGTGCATTCTTATTACGTACACACATCACATTTTCTCAGTAATCAATTCAGGTTTGTTGCGGTCATTTGCTCTTAATTGTTGAACAACTATTAGCAAATCTGATTATTTTGAATTATAATACGAAGAGCTAGGGTTTTCACTTGTTTTAACAACCATATTGTTTTGATAAATATTAATTTCTAAGTGAAGGTATGATATACAAAAAAAAAATTACTAATAACTTTTGAGTGAGGATATGAGAAGACGGGATTAGTTGTGTAATCGCTGTCTTAATAAAAAAAATATAACTACCTATTGAAGACTTCTACATATTTCTCTCATGAAAACCCTATAGACAAATATCACACCGCCTTTGTAAACTTTGATATATCAAAAAGTGCATTTCCTCGATCAACCATTAGATGACGTGAATAACAACTAGTAAACAATACAATATTAACAATAGTAAATTGACGAGCTAGAAAACCGTAGCTATAATACCCTTCACAGGTACGTCACGTTGTTCTAAGTATATAAATGACTAGCGTGTCCAGTTGAGTCGATTTAGCCATGTCCGTCTCTCTGTCTGCATACACGAAAACTAGTCCCTCAGTTTTTCAGATATCGATCTGAAATTTTGTACACGTGCATTCCTCCCCAAGTAGCTGTTCATACCTTTTAGCGTCTCCGGCCTTTCTTGTTGGGTGTTACAAACAGAGTATAATAAAAAATATGTTTGTAAGTAAATTAATTTTCAAATTCAATGACTTGTAAGTTTTCCAGTTTGCAAAACGTGTTAATAACGGTATAAATATTTTAAGAACATTTGTGAAAAGAGAACATTATACTAGGACGCTTTTATGTCACATCATATAATTTTATTAATTTGGAATCTAACAGTACACGTGGCATACATATGTATGTATTTGTATGTCCAAAAGGTTATGTGTGGTATAGGAACGTGATAATAATAGGGGTTTTTTCCGGAATTTTAATACGACCTCAGATAACCTCAATTTTAAATAAATATATGTACATATATATGTATGCATATAAATATATAGTTGTTCAGTTGTTATAGAAGTATATGAATTACTTATTATATCATAAATAATAAAATTATTTATAAACAAACTGTGCATATTGTTGTTGTTGTAGGGGTTATCTAATTCCCGGTGGACAGGAATGCAGGGATAAGCATCTATAAAAATGGGTTTAAACTAGATAATCGAGTGGGAGGTGGTGTCTTTTCAATAAAATTAGATACCAAAATCGCCTTCCGCAGACCACTCCAGTGTCTTCCAAGCGGAGATCACAGCAATCAAAGAATGCCTTGTTGTTGCCAAAAAGCGTGCTCACAACAAGGAGTATATTTATATATACGGATAGCCAAGTGGCTTTAACATCACCGAAGTCTCCTAGGGTCTCGTCAAAGATAGTGAAATAATGTATTGATCTCTTAGAGGATCTAACATCGTACTTCATGATAAACCTGCAATGGGTTCCAGGGCATAGTGATATCCCTGGTAACTGCGAAGCAGATTAACTAGCCAGAGCAGACACCACCCTACAATTCAACTCTTAAAAAGAGGGAATTTTTATACCCCTGGCCACTTGTTAACATTTAATCGACAAACATGTTATAAATCTAGCTGAATCTCGGTGGAGTCAATCCCTGACTTGCTCAACTAGCCGGCAAACGTGGCATGAATGGAACGTGTACCGCACAAGCCGAATATTAAAATTCAAAAGGAATGACATAAGAACTCTGGTAGGAGTGCTAACAGGTCACTGTCTCATTGGTAACCATTCCTGCAGGCTAGGTGCACCTTACAATGACTATTGTAAAAGCTGTTAGGTGGTAGAAGCAGAGGTTTCCTATACAGGAAAAAAATCGCAATTATCGGTCGAGGAACTTCAACAGAAGTATGGGTTGGTTTAGAAGCGGCAATAGAGTGAGAGAACATTAGTCCCGGTGGTATCACAATGGGCCGCCTATCGGCCTAGGTGCATCGTCAGACAGCCACTCCACCTACCTACCTAATTCCCGCTTGGGTGGTAAAAGGATCCGGTTAATTGTCTTTGAAGTAATCTAACGGTAGGCCTAGGAAACGTGCTGTTTCGAGGGGGTCGGATCATAGGGTGGAGGGTATTAGACGGGTGGGGTATGTTTAGCATGAAAGAGGTGGTTAGTGCCATGTGGAGACTTGTTGAATGCTGGACATATACGAGGTGTGCTCAACGAAAAGGTGAATTTTGAATTTTTTTGAAAAGTACTTACCTCTTGGAAGTATACCCTTCGAATTTAATACACTTGTGCCAATGCTTTTTCCAGTCCTCGAAGCACTTATGAAATTCGCTTCTCGGTATGGCCATCAGCTCTTCGCGAATGTACACAGCCGCCCTTTGTTGGCGGGATTCCCAGGTTTCAGTAGTGGGACCACTCTTCCGACTTTCTAAGTATCGGATATTTAAATAGTGGTTAGCGGCAGGTTGAGGAGCTTGATTAGGAAGCTTACTCAATTCGGGCCTAAATGTTTTAGCATCAGTATTTTATTTCCATCAGGGCCAAAAAATTTGGATGTTTTTGCCTTGTTGATGACACTCCGAACCTCGATCGAGATAATTATGGGCAGATGGTCTGATGCGAGGGTTAACATAGGTCGCCAGGTTACCCTATTTATCAGACCACCGCAAGCGATGGTAACATCGGGCGAGCTATTACTGGTGTCCATAATTCTGGTGGAGGAGTCGTCATTCATTGTGCAAAATGTCGAATCGTCTATGTGTTCCGCCAACTCCACCTCCCTGCGATCGTTTGACAGGCAAGAGTGCCGAAAATCGTGGTGCGCGTTAAAGTCATCTAGTACCAAACGGTTTTCACCACGAAGTGGTGCACCTACATTCGGATGGAATCCTGTTGGGCAAAAAGTAACAGGGGGATGTTTCATATATATTATATATCTCGAATTCGACAAAGCCTGACCGGATGGGTATTGCCGGATATTCAAGGGTAGTATCCCTGCGGTCGATAAGACGATATTGCACAGTGTTGTGCAGTATGAAGGTTACGCCTCCACCATTATCTCGGTCGCGATCTTTACGTATAACGTTAAAACCTGCACAACTCAGAAGATCTGAGCGGCTGTTTAACTTGGTTTCTTGGACCGCAGCTTTCGATACGCGTTCCCGGCTAGTGAATGCAACTATCTCCTCGATCTTACTCTGTAGTCTGTTGCAGTTGAATTGTAGTAATCGAATTGGTCGCGGGTGTCTAGGGGTGATCATGGGGGTTAGGTAGTGACGTGTAGGTGGTGGTGTCACAAGAGTGCATTGCCAGCATGGGACCACATAACCGTGGTCCACTCCCTGTGGGTCTTAAGGACTGAACAGGGTTGGACCCAGTGCCAGCTCGAGTCAGAAGGAAACTCATCGATCCAAACGGGATTAGATCCCCGAAATAACAGCCTTTGGCGGGATAGCATCCGGGTCAATTCTGGTAACGTATAACCGGCTGTTGTGGGAATTGCTGTGCACATTGTATATATGTATGTATGTTATTAATTATTTATGCAATAATTACAAGTTTTAATTTTTCGATATTCAGTTATTGTTAACACACAGTTAAAATAAAAATTATAAAAAGCTATATTTTTAATAAGCGTAAAAAATGCCTCTGTATAAAAGCAAAATTAAACATCTCATATTAAAACTCTTCTTTACAGTCATGAGGCAAAAATCATCGATGGCAAGGCTATTGCAGATAAAATTAAGAATGAGCTCAAGGAAAAGATTTCGGATTATGTAGCACAGGGGAATCGTGCACCAAGGCTAACCGCTATTTTAGTTGGCACGAATCCAGCTAGCCAGACATATGTAAAAAATAAGATGCTCGCTGCTAAAACCGTTGGTATAATTAGCAACACAATTGAATTGCCCGACACCACCAGCCAGGAGGAGCTTTTAGAGTACATTAGGAAGTTAAATGACGATACGACTGTTGATGGTATCCTAGTGCAGTTACCTGTACCGGATCACATTGATGAGCACACCATTTGTAATGCTGTGGCACCTTCGAAAGACGTTGATGGTTTTAACGAGATAAATGTCGGCCGCTTAGCACTTGATATGAAGAGCATTGTACCAGCAACACCATTGGGTGTTTATGAATTGTTACGACGCACCGAAATACCTACATTCGGAAAGAATGTAGTAGTAATTGGACGTTCCAAGAATGTCGGCATGCCAACAGCGATGCTGTTACATACAGATGGTCGACATGTGGCCAAGGGAATGGATGCCACAGTAACTATATGTCATCGCAATACACCACCTGAGCAACTTAAGAAACATTGTCAGAATGCTGATATAATAATAACAGCTGTTGGCAAACCAGGACTTGTGCGCCGTGATATGGTTAAGGCTGGTGCTTGTATCATAGATATTGGTATAACACGTATACCAGGTAAAGAGCTCGGTAAAACCAAGCTTGTCGGTGATGTCGATTATGAAGGTGAGTAACGAATTCGAAGTTTTTATTAGTTAAAGCTTAATTTCATTATTTTCTTATTATACAGAAGTGCGTAAAGTGGCTGGCCACATAACACCGGTGCCAGGCGGAGTTGGACCCATGACGGTTGCGATGTTAATGAGCAACACCTTTATGGTAGCACAGACGCTCGCTAAGACGAAACTTACTAATGGTTTCGGCAGTGATTAGGCTCTTCGCCTATATATTAGCATCATCTACTATGTAATTAATATACTATATATCAAAAGATACATATAATATATGTAGTCATAAGATATATGATATGTATAATAAAGAAACATTTATTTATACAGACATACATTCATGTACATATATGGTGGAACATGTGGACGTTAATTAAGTAAAAAAAAAACAGATTAAATATTTTAAATCGCCCCAAGCTTTTAGGTTATGTAGATCTGAATTTAGAGGAAACGGTTGAAGTTTCATTATATTTACATATGTACATACATAATAAAATAACCTTCACCTATATAGCTGTTTTAAGAAAGTTTAAAAGTGATTAATTGACCAGAAAACGAGTGTTCTAAATATATGATGATTCCATGCTCAGTTCTTCAATCAAACGTTGAAAAAAAAGTTATATTCGAGTGATAGCTATAATTAGCAGGATGAAATTTAAATTTTCAAAAAATTATTACAGGTTGCCTGTTTTTGTTTTGACGGGTTTGAAAGTAAACAAATTAAGTTAAACAAAAATAAAACCCAACCCTTTAAGAGGCAAGATAAGATTTAAATACAATAATGCGAAATTAAATAAAACTACTAAATTTGTGGAAGTAGAATTATTTTAAATAAGTTAACAATTTTTATTAACATAGGCTGTACGTACTAACAGTTTAAAGGATATGCTTGTTCGCATCGGAATGAAAGGGTGCCGCCAAATTAACTACATAAAACAAAGCTATTAGATATTTTTTTGTCGTTGTTTTAAATACGTCCATATAATGCCTTGATATAACTAGATAAAAACAAATGTATATCAAAAAGTTATAAACACATCAATTAAGTAATCAAAATGTTAGTTTAATAGCAAGTCAAGTATGTTTATCTTCTTCACATTTTTGCGAAATTAAGGGTTAAGATTTTATATATCTGCTTTAGCCAACATGAAGCCCTGTCAAAGTTTTCCTTATGATTGAACAGCTGATTTCGTTATTTTTTTTAACTTTTGTAAAAATACAAAAAATCACTGTGTTGTTATGGCAGCTAGTAAATTTTTCAGCTCCATTGAATTACTTTTCATAAAATTTTTTGTTGGTACAATAATACTTTGTGTCGCCTATAAGCCTCAAACATTAGGAGAGTCTGTAAATTCATTTAAGGGAATCGAAATGTCTACAAAACAAATATTCAGCACAAATTTTGAAGTCTTTGGAAAAGTACAAGGTAAATATCAATGGATAAAATTGTTGGATTATTTTTATTATCTACCAATAACTTATATATTTATTTTTCAAAATGTCTATGCTTAGGAGTATTTTTCAGAAAGGTATGGTTTCATTAACGTTATTGGTTATTACATTTATTACATTATTATATGCTTCTTTTACGGCAAAAGCATACGGAAAAGCAAGCAAAATTGTTTGGACTACGTGGTTGGTGCATGAACACTTCTCAGGGTACCGTGCGTGGTCAAATGGAAGGAGAACTCGATAAAGTCAATGAAATGTAAGCATATATTTGGTTTATGAGGCTTTAATATTTATTTGCTCTATTAGGAAAAGTTGGTTGGAAACCAAAGGCAGTCCCAAATCGCGTATAGACAAAGCTGTCTTTTCGGAAACGAAAGAAATCCCAGATTACACATTCAAAGCATTTACAATTAAACGTTAAGGACTATAAATATTCCAATCTTCAAAATTCAGAGGAAAGTTTTAAAATCATCATGTTCTTGATATAAACTATTGTTATTGTGGATGCAACTCTGAAATGTAGATAAGGCAGTGTTTTATAGTAGAAAAGCGTGACTATTGCATATTTCCACTTGATCAATGAATATAAGTTTATACCATAAGACATTGGATTTGAAAAAAAGTAATTTCTGGTTGACGAGTTTTTCTAGAAGTTTATTCGAATTAATATGGTTGCAATGAGAGGATATAGAAATAATTAAATACAAATTTCGTCGCTGAAATAATGTAGTATGAAGTGTGTGTTTTTTCACCGCCAAAGTGATGCCATACCTAGTAAATATCGCAATTTGTATTCATCATTCATAAAATGAACATAACTAAAATAGTATTCTCGGTAAATAAGTATAATACATAGCATTTATTTTGTTTGATTGGTAGCAATATGGCGGACTAGTGATTTTAATATTAGATTTTATACTGCCTTATTACAATTCTAGAGTGAATTTTAACTTATTTATGTAGAATGCGAATCAATGAGGGAAAAAGGGAAAGTCGGTGTGTATTTTGTGTGAGAGCAGGATGACAGATCACTCGCTACATCGGGCAACGAGTACGCGCATTGTGTGTTTGATGGCGAAGGAGTAAATGGAAAAACGAGTACAGCAACCATTAATTCACAGTGTGATGGAGATACACGTCGGTTTTAGTAGTGGCTGTGTTCGTTCGATTTCGGATGTGCAAAGTAAAAAAAATATTACTTTATAGTGAATAAAATATTTTTGAAAAAGTGCAGAATAAAAAAATTCGCTATCGCGACCGCCATTGTTTTACTGCGCACAGTATGAAAACGGTATTAGTGTTTGTTATGCGAGGAGTGCGGGGATAATAAAAAGTGAAAAATTGAAAATTCCTAAAATTCAAAGCAAGCGGAATAAGAATTTGTTGGGGAAAAAGTTTTCTCACAAATGTCGAATTGGCTTTTGTTATCCATATAGTGGTTATTGTTTTTGTAATTCTACAGTGACCATACTCGTTCATTCCGTCTCTAATTAAATCTAAAAGAGAATCGGGAAAAAATAAAAGGCGGCCATAATTAAAAAATATAATTTGAAATAGTTGCGAATATTTAATGTTTAATAAAGTTTTCAATTTAAAACTTGAAGTGTATATGTGGGTTTTAAAGTTTACTGAGTGCATTATAAAACCTTAACCAACGCAAAATTTCAAAGTAAATAGTCGTATATGAAAGTACTAAATCGAAATTCTGTTCCCGTTTCGTGGTGAAAGAAGAGGAAGAATTTGTAGCAAAGCTGAACCCCTTGCTAGCTATATGGCGCGATTATGAATTTGTGATTTCGTCAAAAAGTTTAAATTTAAGTGATATACTTCCAATTACAGTTTTGAAAAAGCTCGCGCATTTATAAACTTTCAATAAATATTTTGAATGTAATGAGTAGGTATGTAAAAAGGTTCAAAAGATTTCATAAAACTAGAAATTTGAAATAATTTAATAACATATAGTGAAAATACAAAAAGCTTTTGTGAAATTCCAATTACAAGTGAATGTATATAATGTGCGCGGAATTAAACCAGTGTTCCCATACCCTTTACCACTAAAGGAAGACGATGTTGTACGCTGCCGCTGCTAACAGCGATGACAGTGTTAAGAAGCAGAGTGTACCCAGACATTACGTCCCATACCATGCTTGTTATGAATATAGTGCTATACCATCTCGAATTGTAACGTAACTAAATATATATGAACAGTTTAATGACAATTGCATTAAAGTTAAAGCAATTCCGTCGTTGCGCAGTACTTTATTCTTCTCTTTCGCTCACGTGCGCTTATGATTGTTATTTCGGTTTGCTTGAAAATTTGCTTTACTCTAGCTCGTTATAATGCGCACTTCTCGTTAGTTTGTGCTGCTAGATTGCCTAGTTCGCAATAACATTTGTAGCCATGAGTGCTTGGACAACCATTTCAATTGTGAATGATCAACTACTTTGCTTGAGTTGGTGTGTTTGTTTTTAATCGTAGGTACCGGGGTATGTCTAATGTGTTGTAAATCTAAATGCGCGTCTGTACGATATGACGTTTGTGTGAATATGAGTTGTGTGTACGTTTAAAGTCTTTGGTTGAAGAATTTAGAACATCTCGATGAAACAGATCAAAAAATTTATTAATGTATGTTTTTATAAAATTACATGCTAATAGATACCCTCTTTTGGATATTTTTTATTAATATGCACATAGTTATACATATGATACCAAGCTTACGTTAAACATGTGCGTTATTACGAAATACTTGGAAAATTAATGAAAGAAATTAAAGTACATCCTCAGCCTTTAAAAAGCAACATACAAATTTATTTAGCTCCGTACTATATAGATATTGGAAACGTTACTTTAATAACTATTACAGCCCATTTGTTTTTCGAAAACCTTTTTATAACGTATTCTAAACGTTTCTTATTTTTCTGAAGATGGTTATAACGCAGTCTGTTTTTATAAAGTGTAGGTTGATTTTGACCTTAATCCAACCGGTATTTTCTTGACTTGATATTTACTGTGTAATATAATCAAAATTTTTATTGTAAATAACAAAAAAACAACTTAAATTCTTATATATAACAGATTCTGTGTGTAGTGTCTCTCTGTATGTGCAAACTCAAGTGAAATATTACTATAATTAGTTAATGAACCTCAGAAAATAGTAAAATGAAATGTATTTCTTGCAAAAACTACATTAAAAATGTTTTTAAGATAACTCAAATCCAAATTTAACTCTTATCTATACACCTTTTGCGCCGTTTTATATAATATCGGGATTATGTAAACTGAACTAGGGCCTTTTATTTCAGTAGTACTCCCCAAATTGATATAATTGCTATATAAAGGAGTTAATATATTCGCAATTATTGCGTTGTTAAGTAGATGACGTTGTTCGTGTCAAGATGAAACATTAACAAAATAGTTGTGAAGAATGCTGTCGAATTACAGTCTTTCACCGGATATAACTACGGCTCTGTTCCAGTTATGTACACCTTTGTTTGAAATTACAGTAGGCATAACATAACATAAAACTGAAAATATTTACTAGGAATAGGTCAATGGCTATATTTTATACAAAAAACGTAACTTTAGTAAGCTTGTCCATTAATATGCCGATTAGTAAAACCAAAGAAAAATATGTTTATTGTTTTTAATGGTGTGGCATCATTAAACAAAACCCTAAGCTGAATATTAACTGGCTTGTTCGTTATCTATAAAAATTTTGTTTATGGAACGTAGAAAAATGTGTTTTCAATACATTACAGATTAAACCTTGAAACAATGTACTTGGTTAATAAGTTATTTGAGGAAACTATTATTCGCTTTGTTACGATTATCCCGCCCTTTTTTTGCATTTATATTCGTAATATTCTCATTTCACATGAACTTTGTAGCAATTAAAAATGTGAAGATTAGTAAAAGCGATTTTATGTAAATTTTATTTCAGAAGGAAGCCTCTTCATTCTAAGCAATTTTTACTGGCGAGAGAAATCTTTGGATTGGCATTTGTACCTCAGTTCTACATATGCAAAAGAGATCAGTGGATTTGTGCCAGAAAGAAAAGAATATTCACGTAGATAAATTTAAAAGCAGCTAGCAAACACTGTTTAATTTATAGACCCATAAAGAAGAAAAACAACATTAAAAATTGAGAAGCCAATTGATACAACGACGCGCGCATTACGCAGGCGCAGTCAACGAGTTGGCAGTAGTCGTGGTGCTGAGAACGAAACGGTGGCGGTGGACAGTGGAATCAACGCTAGCGCATTGACAGACGCTGCGTATGACAGCATCGTGGCCGCTGACGCCGCGATCAATGAGAAGCCAGATGAAGCAGCTTCTGGTAGTAAAACTATGGCACCAGCGCTCAATGAGCCAATGAGCCCCACGGAAAAACTCTCCAACTCGACGGCTAAAGTCGCACCACCATCTCGTTCGACTAAAAGTACTAGTGAATCTGGCTCAACAACGTCGACATCCCTCATCACCAATAGTGAGCAAAAAGTGAAAGGATACCGTCGATCTTCGGCCTCTACCCCAACACCGTCATCTTCGACATCTAATACCACACGGATAACTCGATCCAAGGACGCTTATCAAAGAGTTTTTGAACAAGCCGTCTCGCCAACTTCGTTAGTTGCACAAAAATCAAAACAATTAACCAACACCTTGGCAGACAAGAAAAATACATCGGTAGTAGACACCAGTTTGGCAGACGGTGAGAAAAGGGAGACTCAGAAGGAAGATGCTATCAGTAATGAGCCAATGGGCTTAAGCGTAATTTCACATAATAAAGGCATTAGTATTGGTAATGACAAAAATATTGTTGAGGCAATATTTTCGGACGCAGAGGCGAATGAGACGCTATGCAAAGAAACCGAATCTAATATCAACAATAATAATAATACGAGTATAAGCTGCAAAAGTAATTCAACGGAACAGCTTTTAGCCGATTTGACAAATGATATTGAAGAGAGCATAACAACGAAAGTTTGTATTCGTAAACATCTTCAAGAAGTCACAGTGGGGAAGAACGGCTCAAATACATCGAACGTTCTAACAAGTACAAAATCGGAAACAAAAGAAATCACCAATCTAAAAACTTGTGGAAAAGAAGCAAATAAAATAAACGCAGCTGTAAGTCCCAGTAACGCACAATCCTCACAAGGATCCGAACCGCAACATATGGAAGTAGAGTTGCTTACTGAATGTAATGAAAAAAGCGAAAATTTTTTAGGGTCCACCTCCAAAACCCAAGCACAAAAGATAACAGTAAACAGTGAGAAAAAAAGATTTAGTGATGAGAGTGTAACAACTCAGGGGCTTTCAAAAGTTACACCGACTGTTCCAACCGAAGAAGTAATTGCTGAGCCGGTAAAGGGGAGCTCGGGTACTTTGAAATCAGATGCTGCAACGCGGATTCAAATTTTATCGGTGGACGTTCTGCCGCCAATAAGTACAGATTCAACAATGACCGCCTCTGAAGTGGAGGATAATCTTGAAGGTAAGTTACCTTTTCCTTTCGAAATATCGTAATTATTTTGTACCAACTTAATTTTTGTTTTTAATTTAATTATTCAGAGCGATTAAGTCAGTTGGATGGTACGGCCATGGCTTCGCCAACATGTGATGAGGGCAATACTCCAGTAAGCGGAAGTATTGGAAACCTCCCCGTGTCAACAACGCCACCTTGTACACCAACAAAGCATCAAATACATCACCAGCAGGTGCAGCAGTTGCAGCTGCAATTGCAACAAACCCCACCAACACCGCTATCCAATCAAGTACGCCAGCTACAACACTCCTTTACGCCGCAAAGTAGCACATCGTCAGTGAATACATTGAATAGCACGAATTTGCCACCAGCGTTTATGAAAGAGGGTGGTGCTGGCGAACTGGAGGATCAAGATTTAGAGGAGGTATTGAAAGTTCTTAAAGGTTTCGATGGCAGCGCTGGCGCTGATACGCTCTGCGACTTAAATGTACTATTTAATGAAGAGTACACATTATATGAAGACGTCGGCAGCCAGGTAGCATCTACATCGAACAAACCGAGCCCCTTAAAGGAGATGCAAAGTGAAATCGAGCGAAATCAACAAGCGATGCATCGCAAAATCGATTTTCTATTAAGGCGCTTAAGAAAAATACAATCACGTTATATGAGCAAGCATTGCAGCGAAGAAATTGCTGGATTGTTTGAGTGGACGGCACGTATATCTGTGGGTAAATGTAATGCCATGAATAGAGTTTCGGATTTATTATGTCCTGATACCGCAATCAGTGTCATAGCAGCGCGACCACCCGCCAATAATTGGGCAGATGAAAAGAATCCAGTGGCTTCAACACAAATGTCATCTATGTTACGGCGCATAGATCAGTCTTCGAATGCCCAACAACTGTGCATGATTCCAACAAATAGTAGTTTGAGCGTGGCAAGTACGCAAATGCCGCGTAAATCCAAGAAGGCATTTTTACAAGATATGCAAACGGCTGCGTCAACGTCTGCAGCGACGACGTCAATATCGACGTCAGTTGAACGAAAAGGTGAAATTGTGGTGCCCAATTACGATATAAATGTTAGTGAAGAGTTGGCTCAGGTTGCTGGGCTGCTGCAAACAGAAATGCGTGAGGTGCAGACAGCAATGGACTCGGATGCGACAGAATCAAGCTCTGGCGGTGAATCGGCCGATGAAATGGTCACCTATAATAATCAAATACAACAGCCATTAGCCATGTGAGTATGACTTGTATTTGTTGTGGCATATATATTTATATTTTTTTTTAAACTATGAATTTTGATTAATTTATTATTATTTATTAATTTATGCATTATTATTTTATAGTGCAAAGCGTGCAGCATGGCGGTATTCACGTGATCGTGCAGCGATAGCCGCGCGTTGGTCATGGCTACTTTCACAAATAGCTGATTTGGAAATAAAAATACGGCAACACACTGAACTACGACAGGAAATTGTACGAACCAAGGGGTCAGTGGTATGCGGTCTAGATGAGTCTCACGCTGCTACGAATGATGGTAGTCTCAAATCAAGTGTAGCCTCCGCAAACAATATAACAACGTCATCTGTTAATGGTTACAAAGGGAATCTGGCAGGCAACACAAGCATTAAACTTGATATAACCGAATCGGATGGAACGGGACTGATGGGAGCTGCTCGCACCCGAGGTTTTGTACCCTCGCTTTTCCGTAAACGTAAACTCCTTCAAACACAGAGTCTGCACACAATTTCTAAGAAGGCTGCGCGACCAAGGTGAGTTTATTAATATTGATGTCAATTTGTTTTTAATTTTTTTTTATTTTTGATATGCATTATGAATAATATTTGGGTACTTCTTGATTTCTTGTGTTTACATATAATTTCAGTAACATCAAATGTGGTTGTCAGTGGCCGTTCAATCCATGTGCACTGTGTACGGGGCGAATAGATCCGACAGCGCCTCGAGATCCGCCAGATACAATGATGATGGCGGATAGAATAGCGCTACTGGATCCGGGTTATCATCCCGTTTTAAGTTTCCGTGAAGGTATGTGGAATTATTCTATACAATTCATTGCATTTATTGTTTAATTTTTTAGAAAGTTAATTAGATATATTTAAATATAAAACTATATTAAATAGTAAACTAAAGTTTATCGGATAGCATATGCCTAATTTTTTATATACATGCATATATGATGTGAAGACTTTATAAGGCGTGATTATAATGCACATCTCCTCTCCTTCATAGCAGTATCCTTCAAAGCGACTCAAAGTGCTATAACTCTTTGAATAAAAGGCAAAATATTTAAAAACCACTGAAATTTATTTTCAAACCTCGCATTCTGTGCGGCAGACTTACATTTATATTTTTAGCTACAAATAATCTTCAGCGATATGACAAATTTCTTAAAGGATTAGTAAGTAAGCAAAATTTCCCTAGTAGGAATACAAGCAATTGTAAAGAAATTTTCCGGTATTCTTTGTATCCGGAATTGTTACTGTGTGATGTGATTAGCATGCAAAAGTAATGTTTGGTCCATACCAATTTCAAACCGCAGACCAATCCATTTGGTTCCCCACTCCAATATTTATCATTAAAATAATTTTTTTAATAATGAGGAATTTTTGGTCATCTAATCCATTATAAAAATAATTGAATTAACATTTGAATAATTTTTTATTTTTTTAGTAATCCCGATTACGAGATTAAAAGAAGAAAAACTAAGAATAAAAATGAAAACAAAAAAAAAAATTGTGAGATTGCATATGCACTCGCATGATATTTCTTATGGTAAATGCCGTTAAATTTTTTTTATTTTTCATTAATTATTTATCTTTTTGCGAACTGATGTGTACAGCACTACATATGTACATATATGTAAATACAATGGGCAGGTGCGAAGATAGAATGATATTAGAATTAGAAAAAAGGACTCGAAAAAATTAAGAAGCACTTAACTTTCTAATGTCTCGTGTGACGACCGGAAGCTGCTTAACTTTCCCGTATACTTAAGTTTTGTTTAAAAAAATTAAAATTTTATTTTTAACCCCAAAATGAAACTTAAATTTTTAAAGCAAAATAATCGCAACCCTGATTTAATCATTATTAAGAAATGGAAATGTCAATGTAATACGATTCGCTGCACAGCATTATGTTGTAGTTAAACTAGTTACTACTGATCTGTGGGAAACTAATATTACGCCGTTTATTCGCGAGATCAGCCAGTTCTTAGTTACATATTTATATATACATACATATATACACTTTTAATCTGGAGAATCTCGTGTATCCGCTCATACTCATTTTAACCCCGATTTCTGACGGATACTGTACAAAAACCCAGCTTCATATATCTAAAAAACGCCCCTTATTAAATTTCAAATATATTTTTAATATGTATGTATGTTCACTTGTGGCTATAGCCTTAAATTAAAGTATGCAGTCTCAAATTGTTATCAAGACAAGGCAAAATATGCAAACTGTATTGAATAAAAATAAAAAGAAATATCATTTCGCACATATGTATTATATAAAGTAATTACATCGGTATACTTGGTAATAAACAAGACACATGTTTGCACTCTTCTCTAGACGTCAGCAGCACTTTGCACTTGGAGGCCATTGCTCGAATTCCAGACTGGCAGCACAGAATTATGCGTTGTCAAGTTAAAAGTATAGCGAAAAGCGTCTGGAAAGCTGAGCGAGAAGCCGAACGTGCAGCGGGGCTTAACACATCCAAAAAATACAATGAACCGGCCGTGAAACGCCGCTACACAAAGAAAAAGGATCGCTTGGCGATTGATGAAAAGAATGCGGCGGCGGCAGCGGCTACGGCAACAACAGCAAATTCTGCAAATGCGTCACTATCCACAATTGGTTTTGCAACAGATTCATCGGCTAATTTAACAAAAGGAATCGGACTTGTAAATGGTGGAGCGGCAACGAATGTGTCGGCAGCTAGCTCAAATGAAACCACAGCGATAACATCAACAACAACGTCATTGCCGGCGAGCGATGGTGGAAACGGTACTGGCATTTTGTCTACGTCTACTACAACAACGCCACTTGTGGCCAACAGTAAATTATTGTAAACATGAAAAATTCGATAATTGATATTAACATAAAACAAAAACAATTTTGCATCTCTTTTTCTTTCCATTTTGTGTGTTGCAATATGAACTGATCTGCTCCATGTTGAAACGACTCTACCATATCGATTGCATCATAAAACTTATTATTCTGATTATGAACTGCTCTGCTTACTGATCCGAATTATTATGCTTGCCATTTGTATCAACGTTCTTGACGCTACTCGAATGCCGCCTGCCGCCAAATGCAATTAATTAACGAAAAATCGCACTTCACAAATAATGTTAATGGTGTTAAATGGATTGAATTATCGCTCTAAACGATATAAAACAAAAATAATAATTAAAATAATAACAAAACGTGCGCTTCGTTTATTTCATCAAACTTCATTTAATATTTTAATTTATCTGTTTGATTGCTGCAACCATATTTCAAAACCAAAAAACAAAAAAAAAAAAAAATATTACGTGACAACACATCTATTCGAAAATGAAAATACTTTTCGAAATAAAACAAAATATTTTATGCAAACGACTTTTGTTTTCTTTAATGCAATGATAACTGGATCTTATGATTTTTTCAACACAAAACATATTTACAAAACGTTTTAAAACGATCGATATATTGGAATTTCCTGCTTTTATTGTAATAGAAGTGGCAAAAAATACAAAAAAACTGCATCACTATCATCTAGTTGGCGACGGTGTGCTGCTAGAACCGCCACGACCCTTATCACCGGTCGCCACCAATCACAGCAGTCACAGTCAAAGCAGTTATCACAGTCAACAAAGCGTCAACAGCAATTCGGTACATCAAACAAGCGACAATCTTCCGCAAAATTACGATCCATACAGTCCCAACCCAATACATTCATCATTGATCTCCAGCAACAGTAATGGCCTCAACGGCGGTGGCGGTGGCAGTAGTAGTGGTATTGGCAACCATAAACATAATAAACATCGTAAAAGCTCAGCGTCAAGCACATCATTTGGCAATGCTAACAACAACAATAGCAGCAGCAACAACACTCATTTTCAACATCAGAATAATTATGCGACATCGAACTACACCGGTGAATTGAATGATGCGAATTGGGACGGCTTTGCGACACGCAGTCGCACATCGTCGCCAACACATGCAAGTGCGTCCATCGGCAACAGCAACTATCACAAATATGAAAGGTACATATATTAGTAATACATATGTACATACGAGCACTACTCAACTATGTTATGTTATGTACATACTTGTTTCATCATGCTTGCTTCTAATTCATTGCAGATCTAAAAATCGAACTTCATATGATATAGACAACATTGTTATACCATATAGTGTTGCGGCAGCGACACGTGTTGAAATTTTACAATATAAGGAAATACCAACACCCAAGTAAGTTGGCATGTTTTATTAACCAGTCGTATATACGTGTATACATATGCATATAAAGAATTTATACCACCATACACCATAATCTAGAATTTTTTCTTCTTGAAAGTGCAATGCTCATATTTGGATAAGTATTTTTTGAATAATTCTTTAGTAAAACTGTATTAAGTATTAGCAATAATTATGAAGAAAGCATAAAACAACAACTATATACCATATATGTACATATAGAGAAAAATATAATAGTATTTGAACTGAACAACATAACTGTGGTTCAACAAATGACAGCCGAAATCGTCGTACGACACAATTGTCGAGCGCGTGTTGCAAACCCATGCTTTTAACTCAAATGTAATTCCAAATTTAAAAATAAAAATGCATATATCTAATGAAGTCAGGTGAAAATTTCAAGTGGATCAGTTCAGACGTTTCAGAATAATTTTTTTTTTTACCGACGCTGGTGAAATTAAAAAAAACAAAATTAAGGTAGCCAATTAGAAAAAAAATTTAACAAATACGCTCATATCTCACAAATTATTTTTCCAATTTTCTAAGAATATTCTCAAATGCAAAAAACCGATTTTGAGAAATTCACATATCATTATAATAGTCAAATTGTTGATATTAAGCATAGAGTAAACGTTTTAATACTTTTTAAAATTAGCTGTTATTCCACTTGGCCACAAATATGTTGCTCAAGAGAAATCGAATAAATTTATGTGTACTAAACATCATTCAATTTCATATCAGGCGCTTTTTATAGAGCTCATCTATTTTGTGATTTTTTTCACAAATTATTTTTCAATAAGAAGCTTCAGAATTATACACCTCTTTGATAGAAATATGAACTTTTCTTCTTTGATTTTTCACTACTCTATATTTCGAGCTTTTACTTTTGTTATATATAATATTAAATTTTCTTTGCAAAAATAGAAATTTATTATGATATGATTTTTGATTCAATTATAATTGAATCATGGATATGATTGTTGTTTGCAGCATTTTTTCAAGCAGTGAATTGATTAGTATTAGATTACTTGAACTGGAATTCCAGCCGTGAAAATATTTTACTTATTTCGCGCTAATTGCATATTTTTCAAAATATTTGCAGATGGCGTGTTATTGAAGAAGAACGAAGATCTGCTGTTGAGACAACCGACAAAGTAAATATAACGGACAATACCGTTACACCGAAAACTGATGCTGATGAGAGGTTAGAAAATGATTTGAGTGACATTGTAAATGAGAGGTCAAGTGATATAACAACAGCAAAAGCAAATGCAGATGCTAAGGAACAAACAGAACAGGCGTTGTCAGTTGAGAAAACAACAGCAACAACGGCAGAAAAAATAACGGAGGCATCTGAAAAACGGGATGCTACTAAGGATGTCCAGGCAGTAGATGAAACAGACACCTCAAATGAAATTGATGCTCAGATGAAAGAAACCAAGCCAAAAGTGTTAGAACATAAACAGAATAATGTTTTATCAAAGGATGACATTGTTTCGGCAAAAGCCGAAAGTGGAAATATTACAGCCGAGTCAACAACAGCTGTTGCTGCATCATCAGACGAGCCAGTAGCGAAAAAGGTAAAACATGAGAACACTGCATCTACTGTTGAGGACACTATTGCGGCTGAAACCGATACTGTAGACGATCCTACTACAGTAGAAGAAAGTGAAGAAATTAAAACCACAGCAACTGAGTCAATTTTGACTTTGAAGCGTACGATGCGTTTGAAACGCAGTGACACAGTTCAGGAAGATAACTTTGACCATGATGCTACTGCTGATGAAGCTAATGAGACAGAGGACATCTCTGATGAAACCGTTAAGTTACGACATGAACGTGCGCTTGTTGAGGAACGTCGAAAATTCCAAACGTATTTAAAATATCCATGGAGCACACGTTCGCGTGCTAATCGGCGCATTGACAGTCGAGCAGAATCTAGTGGCGCCAACACTCCCGATCCCACTTCTCCAGCGCCACAAACCGTCATTTTAGGCGGAGGTGATCAGGAGGTAAATATTTGTTAAATTTTTAGGTGAAATAGAGCTTACAAATTCTGCTAACTTATGCTTACAGAGTATTCCATCTCCTGCGCCGCCGGCTACACCGCTTAATCCCTTGGACACGATTACCGAAGTGACCGAGAATGGTTCAAGTAAGTAAATTGTGGTTTCAAGTATTATTTTGTAGATATTTATACCCTGAACATAGTCTATTAAGTTTCACACGAAGTTAGTAACACCCAGAAGGACGTCAGAGACTATGTTCAGGGTATAAATATAATATTTGTATATATGATCAGCGTGACGAGCTAGGTTGATTTAGCAATAGCCGTCTCTTCGTTTGTATAGACGCGAACTAGTCCTTAAGTTTTTGAGATAACGATCTGAACTTTTGTACACGTTTTTTTTCTCCCCGAAAAGTTGCTATCGAAGTTAACGTTTTTTTTTATTGTTTTTATAATACATCCATATATATTTGCGACTTTCATTAATTAACTATTTAACTCAGGTAATGCACCAGCAAGCAGCATTGGCGGCACCTCAAATTGTGCGAATAATACTGATTTAAATAAACGTTTGGAGCGCCGTCGCACAACATCAACTAAAAGGGATCGCGAAACGGAGCGACGTAGTTCTACGCCAGACCCAAAAGAGGTAAACAACAAATAATCTTATTTGTATTACTTGCACACGACTTTAATTTTAAAACTTTATATTAAATTAATGTCAATATTTGTCTGTAGCTTATACCTCCATATGAACCTTTGAAATTCCCACTTACCGATGAGGAGTTCGAAGGATTGCTAAAGGCAATGCCCGTCGAATTTCACTATTTAAATTTCGACGCAAAATATTTAGAAGACTGCAACAACAGTGGTGGTGCTGCTGGTGGCTCCAAATATCCACGGCATCGAAACAGTTGGCGTGGTGATGGTACAGCTATGGTTAACAGACGTGGGAAATCAATTCAAAACTGTGATGTTACAACAAATAAAAGACAGCGAGTTAATGGCGGTAAGATGCGCAAAGGCTCCAAAGGCGGCAGGGGTAGGAGACGCGGTAATCACACACGCGTTAGATTTAATAATGAAACGATAAACAATTGTGTGAATGGTGGTGGGGCGGATGAAGTTGAAGAAGCGGATGATGATGACGATGATGATGATGATGTCGATTTAATGATGTTTTTAGCCGAGGAGGATGATGATTATGACTATCCAAAACATCATTTGGCTCCCGATGATGATCTCTTTGATGGCAGTGCAGGTAGTGCTGGCGGCGTTGGAGCCCTTAATGGTGGCACACGTGACCGAATGATGGCTATAGACGATGAATATGAGGCTTATTTAGGCCGACGTCATCGTGCCAGCGGTGGAGACTCCACCGACAGCGAGCCATTCGCCGATGATGATCCGAACGATCCGGAATGGCGTGGCGAAAGTGAAGATCGTGGTGGCGGTGGCGGCGGCAATGAACGACAACGCCGTACTGTGAGGTAGCGAGAATAAATAAAAATTTAAGTAAAAATACTAAAGACGCCTGAAATAGTCGCCACTACGCTTTTATGTAATATTTGAATATTTTCCACATTTAATTAAACAAAATCGTTTCATGCTGCGTTGCATTAATATTTAGTGTGCGTAATACTTTGTTGTTCGTGGTAAAGCCATAGAATTCAATACATCTCCCAGTTTTATTACAATATCTTATGTAACAAATTACACAAATGCCAGCGAGTAAACACAATTTGCAAAAGTGTTTGCTGTATGGATGTAATGAAATTAGGAAAAACATAGTTCAGACATATAGTTGCTCTAACTTAATCAACAATAACATAACATATTTCATTTATCACCTAATTTACAAATTTATAAGATATTATTCATAAATATGTAAATGTTTGGGTTTCTTAATTTGAAAATTTGTAATTCGCATACATACTTACTTATATGAATGATAATTTTGTTGTGCTTTAATGTATTTTTAAATATCTACAGATGTATATAAATCAATAGCAAATATTTTCATGGAATTTTAACGGCAACAACAAATGTAGGAATATATTATTTTCTTGCTGTCTTAATAAAATGCAAAAGTACACAGAAAAACGAAAAACGACAAAGTAAAGCATTAACCATAATTAAAGGCATTTTTTTTTCTAAAGGCACAGTTAAAAACTACTTTATGTTGTTTTCGTCCTCATTTGCGCACAACGACAGGAGGCGAAGTACGCATTGTAAAAATTATAAATAAGTTTATGCTTTTAATTTTTTTATCGGCAACTTTTATATTAGATTTCATATTGAAAACAAAAGAAGAAAAACACAGTAATAGAAAAAAAATAAAAATTTTAAAAAAAAAAAACATCAATTTGTATTTAAATAAATATAGTTGTCAATAGCATAACCTATAGAAAAAGAAAAGTAATATATTAACATTTAATTATAATTAAATATACATACAAATTATTATTATGCTTAAATTTAGTATACACACTTAAGATTCACATGTAAAACACACTTACACATAAACACAAACGCAGAAGCTAGATACAATATTTCGAATTGACTAATGGAATACAACGCGTGTTTGCGCAATTATTACTTATAATGATTGGTTTACAATTTTACTGTCTTAATTATGTCTTAACAGTCAAAATTTATACTCACCACCACCAGTTTTCGAATTTCGAAGCGTTCTCTTTGCAAATGCATTCAATCTATTGGTATATTTCAAATTCTAAATTCCTGGCAGCGTTTATTGTTCGGTTCAATACATTTTGCACGAGTATATAAAACAATTTTTTTAGAGATTTGGGAAAGTAAATTTGTTTTGAATTATATGCTCGAAGAGAATGTACGTTAATTCACGTAAAATCACCAAAATTACATGCTTGTCAATTGTGAAATGTTCTCCAGAAACACATAAATATTGTTGAACTGTCGTTGTTAGGCACTAGAATAGGCAGTTTACAAATAACAGCTTCAATAAAATATATATTGGCTTCTGCAAGTCAACTTATAATTCGGTGGTTTTATTTACATACGTGTCGTCTATGAGAATTATTTGTGAAAAGCTGCAGTTTCGACTTAATTACTGCTAAAATTCGGTTATTGCTGTTATAAACGCGAATAACACAATAAACTTTGAGCAGTCTTAAAAGTTTCCATTTTAGCGGTTTAACTTTGTAAAAATTAAAAATTTATCCAGGCAACTATTAAATCTTCAGTAAATTTAACTTTATTGGATCGCTTCCTTTTACATTTTCTGCATAGTTATAAATGCAGCCAAATGCACTTAAGCTTTAGCTGATCGAGTTACGAAGATATATGTATTTCGTATTAAAAGAACATGCTGTTCATTTTAAAATTTTAGTAAACATTTCTTAAAAAAAACAATAAATAAATAAATAAACGCAAAATCTAATATGTAAATGTTTTTGCTGTAAATATTTCAAAATATGTATGTATATTTATAGTCAGTTATAAATGTATAAAAATAATGATTTTCAGAAAACAAAACAAAACAAAAAACAAAAAAAAAAATTAGAATTTACCTATACATATGTATGTGCAAGCGCATTAAAACTAAGTACAGTTTTGCAAGTAAATTTATTAAGTTTTAAAATTATAGTTCGTAAATAGTTATAATTTGAAACAATACGTTTAATTATAAAAAGATCGGTACCAAGTGGTAAAGTTTCTGAGTTTTCTTCTGACATTTTATTGTACAAGAAATAACCAAATAAACATAAATAACGAGATAATTTTTAAAAATAATTGGAAACTTTGTTAATTGAATTGAGCGCCACAATGCGTACTTTTTATAAAGTAGAAAGTCAAAATTTTTAATTTTCTTCTTGCTTTTAAATAATTTTTTTTTTTTTCTTTTAACTTAACTGCTGCATACATGAACTTATAAA